GAGTTCCATTCCCTGAAGTAGGACATCAGCGACAGAATCATGTTGGGATCATCCGGTGAGAAGCATACCCTCCCCTGTCCTCAATCGGCCGATCTATAGTACCAAACACGGCGGCGATCTGCAGAACGCAACCGCAATGGGAGTATGAGTAGCACCATAGTCCGGATCAGACAATAGTCCAATGAGTCAAAAGGGGCGTCGATGGAGACCTGATATCCGTCCGGATGAGAGGTTAGCAGAAGGTCCTACGTGGAAGGTACACGATCCTCCACATCTAGAATCCGCGTAGGTGAAGTAACCATTTGTGTCGGACCATATACCATGGCAAAGTCATAAACAGATCTTCCCGCCGGTCCAACGAGAACCAAGCCATTCAGCGTGGTGGCCGTTAAAAACACCAAGGATCACGATCTCTGCAGATGGGCCCTGTTGTAGCACGGAGTCTGCAGCGATTTGGACGTAGTCGATGAGTCGGTCTGTGTCGGCATTACCTGTAGAGGCACCCGTAGACGCGAAGATGGTCGTCGCTGACCTTCAAGACTGCCGAGGCGTCAAGAACGGATGTCCTCTCTGACGTATACGCAAACTCCAGCCCGAGGTACAAAGGTGTTATAATTTGTACCCCGGATAGGAGAGAAGTATCGACCGGAGAGGACACCTGCGTCTCGGTTAGAAAGAGCAAGGTCAGCTTCGCCGTCTTCAGATGGTACATAGTGGACTTCGTTAAGGTTCGAATGAAATCCCCTGATGTTGGAGAAATTCACGGATAGCGTGGCAAGGGTCAACTTTGTCTTATTACTTTACTTGCCACGAACAGTATTAGTCTTGAGCGAAATTTCGCCCTACCCCTCCCCAGGATACGCGAGGCAGCCTGAGCACCCGCGCTAAAGAAGAGTAGGGTAGCTTGGGTGTGGATGCTCAGCCAGGGATTCTCCAATACCAGGGGTCTAGTATCCTCCTGGGATGGTTTCTTATTTAATTACACTACCATGTTAAGCGGAAAAGGGGTTAGGCATCCGACCACCTGCATTTAACAGACGAAGTAAACTTCTATTTCACGCTGGTTGTCTGTAAGGTGGCTCTCCTCAGTTCGAGCCGGTCCACCCATTCATTACAGCTCTTCATTTCATGTTTTACCAGGTCGTCACTCCCATCTAGCTGGCTCATCCGTGCGACAGCTAAAGCTGCCGTGTGGCTCTTCTACTACTGTTGTCTGCCTATATTATTAACTGTAATATACTTCATCATTGTTTATGCGTTACACATAATACTTAAGTAGCTTTTCTTTACTATGCCCTTCAGTGGGCGACAAGGAGCTGATAATGAAGTAGTTTTACACCTTTAAAGTATTTAGTTTAGTTTAAATAGGGCCCCAATTTCATTCTTGCCCCGGGGCCCTTGGTTACACAGCTACGCCACTGGGGCCGATAGTACTTAGACCTTCAAGAGAAGTGCCTACTCCTTGTTAAAAGGCCGGCAACGCGTCTGCAATCAGTTGTTTATGGGCGACGGTAGTCACTTACCATCAGGTGAGCCGGCTCTTTTCTTGAAGGTGGGGGGAAATATTGTCAGATACTTTCACAAGCAATTTGCAAGTACTGCTGTTTGGATGCAAAACTAAGAGGGTGGTAACTACTCAGACGGGCTCCCGGGCCGAAAAAGAGCCCTATCACCTAATAATTAAAACGAAATCGATAAATTTAGCTTTTATTGTTAATTTCACTTATCACTTAGCACATCACTAACACATCCAAGTACAACTGAGTTTTTTTTACACCCGATAGTTTACAATAAAATGGCTTAATCGAGAGAAAAAAGACTACAAAACTAATGAACTTAAACACACGGACAAACATCTCAATTATTATTGATTATGATTATCAATCACCAAAAAAAATAACCTAAAATGATCTTAATAATCAACTCAGGTAGTCTTTAAAGACCTATGTATGATGTTTTTTACTAAACATCAAACCTCATTTCAAAGTGCTGCCTCCTAAAGGAGGCTCTGACAAACGACAAAATGGCGAAAAATCGTACCAAATTGCTCAGACATACAAAGAAAAATGGGGTGGAAAGAGAAGATGGATAGCAGTATCTTTCTGATAGTAGTTAATTACTAATAAACTGGAGTTGCCAACCCTAAGTGGGTGGAAGAGGCGTGGCAACTATGGCAAATAACACCCCTATAAGACATTCTATGGTGTAGGCCTATGTTCAGCAGTGGACTTTTGTGAGGCTGTAATGATATGGTACGGTGAAGGTGATGAACCATATTTTAAAATAATTTAAAACAGATTCAAATCACATTTAAAATAGAGAGCTGCGGACATTTCAAGTGATACCGAAACCATACTCAACTTGACACGTACTCACACACATTTTTATTCTTTCTGTTAATCAGCCTGTAAAAGTTCACTCCTGGTCCACACATGTGCACCTAAAACCATGTTGATCGTTGCAACGGAGTTTAAAAGCATTTTTGTGTGTGTGTTCTTACAATAAGTAGAGTATGGTTTTACTTGAAATGTACCCAGTGATCTGATCATCTTCCTTTGTTAGTCTGAGCCAAATTACCAACCCAAACCCAGTACAAGTACGAGGGTCATGGCTTTCATTCAGTTTTGTAGTCCATGCCAAGACTAAAATTTGATCAAATGGCCCCTCATCACTAAAATATTAAGAACCACTGATCTGAAACCTGAGAGTTACTATAAAGAACACAAAACAGATCACACAAACAAGTGACTTTCATAATATTCTTCTTAAAGGTCCTGTGACTGAAATAATTTGGTTAAAGATATTTATTAATATGCGAAAGTGACATATATAAGTATGTTGGGAGTAAAACTTAGGGATAAAATTAGGAACATTGAAATAAGAAATAAAACCAAAGTCGTCTATATACTTCCTCGTATTGACTATCAGAAATGGAGCTGGACAGGACACATGCTACATTGCAAAATTAGTACATGGAGCAAGCAAGTCACTCTATGGTACCAAAGGGACGGCACTAGAAGACAGGGACGTCCAAAAAGCAGTTCGGAAGACGAAATTCGTCTGACCTTAGGACCAAAAGGGTCGCATTGCACAGAATCCAATGAAGACTGTTGGAGTAGGCCTATGGTAAAATGTACGCGGAATTGAGAGACATTTTATAAGCTATTTACATTAAATTTAACACATTCATCACCACTACGATTTTCATGATGTCTTCTCGGATGCCGTCTACATTTTACGGTTGACTCGCCAGGCGAGTCGCCGGCACTGCAATATAAATTGAATCGACTCGCCACGCGAGTTCACTGGCACTAAGTAAGGGTAAATTCTATGTTTTGTAATTTTTGTGGCCGTCACAGTGTACTTAACGTGTTTAACGCAATTAAAAAGTGTTTCAGGACTATTCGGCTTGTAAAAATGGCAAAAAACTCTTTGGATAAAATAAAAGGTAGTTTGTTTCGTAATTTAAGCAGTGGTTGTCAATCTTTTAAATTGTGGTTATTGTTAAGGTTATATTTTGAATTTCTAATACTTGTGAATAGACAATTTTACCATGAAATAATTTAATATATATCCTTCCCCTCGGACTCTCGAAGAGACCAGACGTGTGTGGTTTAGTTAGTTAAATACAGTTAACTTATGTTAAATTCCGACAAAATCAAATAAATAATTACCTAGGAGTGCATAAAAGTGAAGAAGTGTTCACTAACTCTCAACACTAGTCCTAATAAATTCCCATGCAGCTGTGTGAGTAAAAGCCTTATTATTGAAGTGTTATAATTTTTTTTGCAAATTAATAAATAGTTCAAACGAGAAAGAAACGCTTAATCATTGCGTCATTGAATAAAACAGGGATAACATAAATGAATATTGTATGCACAGGACGAGAGATCAAGTGATATAAGACGGAAAGACCCTTTGTATAAGAATCGTCGATCAACGACCAGTTGCTTGACCTCTAAGCAAATAGTAACGAAACATTGGAGCTTGCAATAAATACGTAATACCTGATTGTTTATATTGCTCTGGTACATTGTTTTAACGTCGCTTTATGATTTCTCGCTCGCCACCGCAGTCTACTTCGCAGCCGCAGAATATTGTTGCTACTAGCGCGACCGACACCTACGTCTCGACGGCGGCCATCAACTTTACATCGCAAACACTGCCATTAAGACCCAAATATTTATTCCGATTCCGATGGCCAGCCGAACAGCTTACCGTACCAAAAGGAAGCGTGAGGATGATTTCGATACATTTAAAATTGATGTTAATAGAATGTTTAAGGAACTTATTCGAGAACAACAACAACAACAACATGCACGCACGCCCACACACATTCTTTATCTACTTTTGATTGGAAATAAACGATTATTATTATAATATACGGGCTTTCAGTTTTAAGAATATGGTATGTATTATTTTTATTGTGAATATTAGTTCCATATCACAAGTATGTAGGTAGTCCATGCTACTATGTTGACGTCGTTATCTAACATGTAAATGGTTGAGGATCTATGTCAGGGAACTCGCCTAGCGAGTTCAAGGCATTGCAGAATAGTTTGTTTCCTTTCAAATTTAAACGGAGTCTCCACACCCGGCCCACCACGTAAATCTTTAGTTTAGCATATATTTAGTCTAAACTATAATTTTAAGCAGAAAATACGGATGCATTTTGGAAATATTAGTGAAAAACACTGAACTCGCCAGACGAGTCGTCGGCACTGGAATAAGATTTACGTGAACTCTCCGGGCGAGTCGGTGGTACTGAATGTGTTAAGCATACTACTATGTAAAAATTCGGAAATAAAAGGGCTTTATTATTTTGGGGTATTTATAAAGTAGGTATTCCCGTATGGTTTTATTATTAGTATTATTATTATTATTAAAAGTGAGATGGACTTGTTAGATTTCACATTTAAAGGCAGTTATAGCGATCAATCCAAAAACCTCCATAAAGCCATTATTATTGCATGTTGGATCTATCGAGTGAACTCTGTCCCTCATTTTGGTTTGGTTTCTTGATCGGTGACGTATCTGATATATATAATGTCCTCTGGCTTCGGATCCTCGGCTTGGGTCTCATCCAGTTGCGAACAGGCGATAGCCAGGGCTGATCCATCATGAGAGAAGCTGAGTGATGACACTGCTGTGTTGTACCTGGAAGTACAAACAGAAAAGAAGAATTGGTGAAATGCTTGAGGAAATGAGTGAATTTTCTTCAGCAACCGTTTCTTAAATTCGCTCGTCATTCCCTTTTACCTATGAAAAATAATTATATAACTAAGCATACCACTTAAGCCGAAAATATAAAATTTTAGTCTCATGTCTGTATTTCAGGTAACCACTTTTAATAAATTTTCCAAATTTCAATCAATTACATGTAACAGAGGAAATTCTTCCAGACAGTCAGTCAGACACCAAGACAATTCATATGGGACACCTATGAATTGTCTTAGTGTCTGACTGACTGTTTTTTTACAACAATGAATATCAGTTGGAACTCAATTTCTGTTTTGTTAAATACTGTCCAAAAATCAGTAGAGTCCGAAAGACCGAATTAAGCATCTTACCTATGGAATTGACAGAGTCGTTTTTTGTTGAAGCCATCCCATATGTTCACGTATCCATCGGAGCCGCCTGTCGCAAACGTGTTGTACACTGAGTGGAAGCTTATTGCATTCACCGGATAAATCTTTTCCAAGCCTGGAATAAAAACACAATATGAAAATATTTTTTTAATGAACCAACTTAAAAGAACTTAAAAGATGAAACCTTAATCTTTATATATGTAAAAGATTTCCACCTATATACTGACTCATCACAACCATAAGGCCTAGAGACTTGAAATTTGGTAGGAATATTTCTTTCATCGAGTAGAGGTCAGCTAAGAACGGTTTTGACGTAATTCCACCCGCAAAGGGGGTTGCGGGGGTTCAGGTGATATTTTTTAAATTTTAATACCAGGCCATAATATTCTTTTTGGCATGTTAGAAATTACCAAGAACGGATTTTATGTTATTCCACTCACATAGGCAGTGCGGAGGCATTAACAATAAAAAGTAAATAAACTTTTAATCTATAGCTCTTTCAGTCTTGCTCAAACTCAAAAACAGCTGGATCAATTTTGATGAAATTTTTTGAGTGGGTCTCTGATTGATCTAAACGATTCACAATCGTATCCGGTAGGTGGCGCTGTTGTCGAGATCCAAAAATCACCCGTGCGAAGCCAGGGCAAATCGTAGTATTTTAAATACCTTCCTATAAGTATATAGATAATGCCAGTGAAAGAGTCATAAAATCGGTTGTATGTCTCTGAAGAAATGAAGCGATACAATTACACGTGCATTCGAGGGGAAATAACCCAATGGACCAGTAAGCTGGTGGCAAAGGGCTGGTCATATAGCTCAAATAACTTAAATACCAATGACAAAGAAAGTCTTTCAGGTGGCAGCTTTGTACTGGTAGAAGTGCTGGGGAGATAATAGGGTTGCCCCCCACTAGACAACGACTTCTATTTAAAAAATAAATTGTTGTCATATGAGTGGCAAGTCATGAAAATTTAATGGCTTCTAAGAGATAGTGAAATAATTATCTCTTTGTCAGCACTAAAATACCCAGGCTGACAATGAGGAGCATTATCAAAGATATATGATAGATACTGCCACAGACACTTCATATAAACCTGTTGATTTATTTTTTCAGGTATGATGATAGATTTTAATGGACTATAGTGATAAAAAACTGGGTACTTATATAATGAGGTTTATAAATGCATGATGTAATAATAATTTACTCCATTATAATATGTTATTTTACTTCCACTTACCACCATCTTTAATCCTATGACATTTGAAGGCATACTTTTTTTTCTGTACTTCGGGATTGCTGTCGAGGTACTCCACGGCCACTCTGCCTTCAATTGAACTAAGGACATAGCCTTGCTTATTAGGAAAAACTCGTATGCATCTTGTCTGATACTTAAGGGATGATTCTCGTCTTTGATTCACATGACCCATGTTTCGTACATCCCATACGAAGATTTTACGACCAGACGTTCCGACCACAAACTTCTCACCGACGATACTCATTGTGTAAACCTGTACATGAAAATAAATACCTTTAGCCGACATTTCTTTGTTATCTCAACATTAAAAAGTAATAAATATAAACAGATTTTTTAATTTAGCCCTTGAGGTACAACACTATAGTATGTTCAGCGGTTCCTAACTCTGGTATGAAATCTACTGAAATTGTTAGTCATGATTCATGCTCAGTTGTTGAGGGAAACATCGCAAAACTTAAAAAAATTATAGTCACAGAAAAAAGTAAGTATCACATTAAAATAAATTGAAGAAATCCACCAACACACGTTGGGGCAGCATGGTGTACACTTCCTTGCCCTAAAACCTTTTATGAAAATGTAATTAACACCAAAAATAAAAACTGGGATACGACTTTCCATTGACTCCCATCGAGTTGGGGGTTGATATGTATTTTTACAGAAAAGTTACACTATTATAAGCACACACACAAAGTTACAACATGCGGAAGTGCATAATTTTTGAGAAAAAAGTTATTGAAAATCAATTATTCTTGCATTGTTTATGTCTAATCCTACAATAAAACTGACACCATTTTTTTATTGTTATTGTCAGTAGGGAAGTTGATTTTTTCCGAAAAAGATCGATTTTTTAAATAGATTCGAATTGTATGCTGATGTATCGATTCCCAAAAAATCGATTTCTAAAATATCTATATTTTTTTTCATGTTTGCATTTATAATGTAAATATAAATCCATTTTAAGAGAAACTAAAAAAAAATCATTATGTCAAATCTATTCCAGTTGTTATTTTTACTTGTTACTTAATATTGTTTAGTGTGTAATTTTAATCTTAAGTGCCTAAGTCTGTGTGAGCAATAATTTTTTTTTTATAGGATAGGGTGACAAACGAGCACACAGTCCACCTGATGGTAAGTGGTTACTGTGACCCATAGACATCTACATCTATCCTCAATAAAGACTCAAGATGCAGATGCGTTGTCACCCATGAGGACTAAGATGGAATGCCTCTTTTCCAGAAAAAAGGGTCTCCGGTTCTCTCCACTCACCATACGAAACACAGCAGCGTTAAGCTGCTATTTTAGGCTGGTTTTCTGTGAGTTTGTTATGTTTGTTTCTTTCTTTCTTTGTCGATTCATGGTTCATACTGTTTATTGAAGAGGAGTGTCACCAGGGCAAGGGTATCAGTTGTGTCTTCCTACTCAATATGGTAACATAGAATCGGGGTTCCTAAAGGTAATAGAACACTCACCAAATCCCTTTTAATTTATGGAACTCCACATCAAATGACTGCATATCATAGATAGTGCAATTGAAATTTTATAATATTATTGTTGCAAACTACCTATGTACCTACATAAACATAATGGGTTCTTCTCATCACATATTTTGTTCAAAAATTAATAATTTTGCCCAACCCTGGTGGCATTTCTACATAACCCTTAGGTTATGCTTAATCCCACTTTAGGAATCTCTGACAGATAACACTTTTAAAGATGCATGCCAGCTGGTGTATTTGTAGAAAGATCACTGACCACCAAAAGACTTTAAAAGTGACGTGATGTAAAGCATCTAGATATATTAATCAATTAGCACCAATTATTCAAATTCAACATTTATTAGTGCGTAACGGATTAAACATACTCAATACTTACAGGGTAGTGTACGCTCTACAACACCACTACAGAAGTTAATTCAATATATGTACAGATTGTACAAATAAAAGGTATGCCATAGTTAAAAAATAAATACCCTTTCATTTCCTTGGTTGTATGTACCAACACAATTAGGAACACGGCTGTCCCACATTTTTACAGTGCCATCCCAACTGCCTGTCAGAACGGCGTTGACCTCATTAGCAAACTCTACACAACGGATGGCCGCTTTGTGTTCACCAAGAACTGTTTCAGAGCTTGCATTCAGATCATACATCTTAAGAGTCTGATCCAGACCTCCACTGTAAGAGTGTACAGCATCCTGGAAGTAACATAAATGTTATTTTTGAGAACCACTTCCTATTTCGTTTTATTTGAACTAATAATTATAAACAATAAATATAAAAAATGACAAAGGCAAGATTCTGTTTTCGCTATAGTTAGAAATTTAAGTTTTTAGTTTACCCTAAAACAAACGTCGAGAACTGGCAATTCGTGGTTATATTTATGCCTTTCGATATTCGCCGTTACATCGTATAACCTCACTGAGCAGTCCCACGACGATACAAGTAAAAATTGATTGGATTTTGGCGCAAATTTTACACTGGAGATCGCGTCCTCTGGCAAGCTCTTCAATTTAAATTCAGTGCGGGACTCCGCAACCCGCGTTACAGTCATTGTGGAAGCAATTTTGTTGAGTAGTTTTTAAACTATTTTGAGATAAAGCTAGGCGAGTTTTGGATTATATAAAAGAATATTATGTTGATAAACAAACATTAGTCCTCGTACATCACGCAGCCTTTTCGGCACAAAATACAACTCCTAGTTTTCGTGGTTTAGAACTTTAGAACACCACAGATAACTGTATACTACTAGTAGAACACAAGCACAAACTATATAGAAATTAGAAACACTACGCGAACCATAGATAATACACTACATACAACACAACCACAAGACAGGACAGTAGTGATTATATTCTCTTTGAGTACAGAAGAATGACAGCTTTTTTATAACTGACTTTATGGCTCTGGGTTCTAGCCCTTCTGAGCCTGAAGTTACAATGTATAATTATCCTTCATAGTACACTGCTTCACAATATGATGATGTGTCACATTGTGCAGGCCGAACACAAGACAGGACAGTACAGAAGAATGACAGATTTTTTTATAACTGGCTTTACGGCTCTGGGTTCTAGCCCTTCTGGGCCTGAAGTTATAATGTATAATTATCCTTCATAGTACACTGCTTCACAATATGATGATGTGTCACATTGTGCAGCCCTTGGGAGAATTTGACGGCAACTTGAGCCAACAGACAGCTGACAGTTGGCGATGGTATGGACCTTACCTTGAGAATCACATCACCATCGGAGCACTTGTTTCAACGTTTCCACTAATAGTTCACATACGCAGACATTTAATACATAAAATCGCACCACTTTGACATACCAAAATCCACTTCTAACCATTATTTAAACAATAATACAGGAGCAGAAAACCACCGCCGGTCAAGTTCCCGCCAAAACTCCAAGAATGACAGAAACCATAGATAAATGAGCAGATTTCAAATAAAATGACCGTTCTGCTTACGCGTTACGTAATCGGAACCTAATATTTTTCATAAATCGTAATGGATATTTCGGTGTAACTTAAATGTTTTTAATAATATTCATAAAAATCCAATTTAAGGGACCGCATACTCCAATATTTATTCAGTTTCGTAACTTTTTTATTTACTGTTTTAATAAAATAAAAGTATTATTAATCATATAAATTTTATTGTTTGAATCAAAGATTTTTTAAAAAACCTAAATTTATTACAAAATTCTTCGTAGAAATATAGATAATCAACTTCTTACCTGAGAAAATACGAATTTCTAATGGAACAAAATTTTGTTCCATTACAAATTCGTGTTTTCTCTATCACATGCAATCACCATCGCATTTCGTAACGAACTACGTCAAATTGGCAGCTAGGCGTTCAAACTTTGTTCGACGTTTACTTTGAAAATGTTACCAGAATTGCGAAAAATCTACAAATTTATAGATATTCACTTTGTAGTGCATGCGTTACGTAAATAAATTTCCGCCAACCTTGTTTTTGAGGACAACAATTAAAATGAATTATCTATTTTATTTAAACTCTAAAACATGCATTAATTTTGTGCTCCTGAATAAACTTTTCAATATAACTGTCAAATATATGAACTGTTTTAACAAAAATTTGTCTAAATCAGATCTTTTTTTTTTGCAAGGTATAGGGTGAACATGTTAAAATTAATGGTTTCCTCAACATAAATGTTTATTTTATGGCAATATTTTGCAGGTTTATTTAGTTTTTTAAATTTCAAAATAATCTTTGTTTAAAATAATGTTTCCTATCTATGTTGTTACCGACAAAAACAAAAAACTTGATTCACTTATGAATAAATTATTGAAAAAGTAAGTGGACAGTGCAGTTTTCTTATGGTCATTTTATTTGAAATCCGCTCAGATAATAGATAAATACAGAAACAGAAACTGACGGCCACAGCAGTATAGCTATCGTAAAAATCTAAACTGCCGTATATGCCAGTCTGGCATGCCGTATTTTAAGAAATAATATACTAAATTGCATTTAGTATTTTACACATACAATTATTATTTTTTTCATTATTTATTTTCAATTTCTCTTTTCCTCATTTATTTCTCCTCCGTAAAAGTTTTTTTTATGTTGCTTGGTAGTCACATGTCGCATAGTTGAAAATTCACACGATAATTTAAGGTCAGTCACTGTCTATCTCTCTATACAAATCACTATCTCCAGGAGCACTCCAGGTTTTGAAATAATCCTCACCGCGCTAGTACTTCTCATTAGTTTATAATCCTCACTCTGCTACTGTTATCTATACTTCTGTTTTATATATTTCCCCTTTTATGTATTTTGGCGAAGTATAGCCTTCAGAGTCACATTCACTCATATTATCAATTGTCAATTATAATAAAACACAGAATATGGAGTTATTTCACTTGCAACCGTAACGTATTTTGACAGGTTAAATTACGAATAAGCGCTAGGTCGTTATTTACGTATTTCATGATACGGCAATGAAGCCTACAGTATGCCGTATTTACTAGCAAAAAAATTGTGTATTCCCGTATAATACGGCAATTGCCGTATCAATAGCAATTCTGGTCCACAGAGTAACTAGTCAGGCAGAATAAATCTTGTAATAATAATATTTTTTACGTGGTAGAGCCATGCTGCAGCTATATTAATAGTATAGTTGTAGCAGGAATGGGTCGGCTCGACTGGGGAAGGACCAGGCTCTCACAGCTTACCAGCGTAAAATAGCAGCTTAATGCTGCTGTGTTTCGTATGGTGAGTATAGAGAACCGGAGATCCTTTTTACTGGAAAAGAGGCATTCTATCTTAGTCCTCACGTGTGACAACGCATCTGCATTTTGATTCGCAAACGAGGATAGATGTAGATGTCTAATGATGGCCACAGCTACCACTTACCATCAGGTGTACTGTGTGCTCGTTTGTTACCCAAATTCTATAAAAAAATGTAAGTCACTGACCTCTGATATACAAGTATGCTGGCCTGGCTATACACCGTGACTTAAAGAGGCAATTTGATTTTTGCTATTTGAGCGCTGATAGCAGAAATGAGTGTATAAAATTAAAAAGTAAAGTATATCGATAAAATGTTTATAAAAGCCTACCATTTATCATTTTAACACAATGACATACAATAAATAAATGTATCAATTAATACTTATATCTTAAGCACAAGCTTTAAACCACGTATTAAACAAATATCAACGCTGCGTTGTCTATCTCTACGTTTTTCTTCGTAATTATAAAGCAGGTTTTGATCCGGGATTCACCATCGGGTATGTATGGTTCATTCGAGAAGTTAAAAAAGGTCCAACGAGTAGAAAACCTGGAGAAGGAAACTACAATATATATTCTTTATGTAATTATAGAAACATATTAGTGCTTCGTCCATCTTTGAAAGTAAGGGCGGACTGCGCAAGCTGGTTGGAAATAATTAAACAAAAGAAAAAAACCACTGCTTAAATTTGAAGCAGATTTCACTTAACTTAAAACGATTAAAAAAGTAGTTTCAACATTTATTTACAATGGTATTACCTACGTAAAATTAGTACAAATAGGAAGTAGTAGATTTACTTGTGTATGTTCACGATTTTTTCAAAACTAATGAATGTCATTCAAAATTATATTGACATTAGGTTGAAATATCTGATACGTAAAGTTGCGATCAAGCAATGAAAACTATTATTATATAATAAGTTAATTAGCTTTTCGAGTTTGATTAATTAACATCGTTTTATAAATTCTTACCTGTTTATTATTGACCTGTGAAAACCTACCATATAGTTATTTATCTACCTAATATCTCCACCATCGATTGCCTCACAATATGGATATTTGCCATAGTTACCACCCCAAATAAGCGGGTTGGCTATATACATATACATTATAAGATAAAATTATAATCTATATAAAAACAACATATAGGCGTCAATCATGGCGCATCACGATTCATCCGTTTCATCTACGTATCAGTATATCTATAGGACGTCTACTACACAATGGGCAATAAGCGAAACGCGCGTTTTGTAGCTTGCTTATAAATAAATATTCTAACAAACTTTGGGCAATACGCATGTCAGAAATACATAATTAGGTTAATTGTTAAAAATAATAAAAGTGTGAGAGTGGATGTTTAACTTGCTCTCCTGCTTACACAATTAATCATTATCAGCAACAAAACAACGTACTGCACTACACATGCAATTACAGTTCGACCATACCGTAATATGTCCGTGTCATAATTACACAGTAGTGTAATATGAGGGACATATTACATAATAACACCAAAGCAAGCAAACGTACAGCAACCCTACCAAGCCAACCAACAACACTGGGCAGCCTCTCAGCAACACGATCTTCCTTCCCTGCACTAGAAGAATTATTACAATGGGCAGAACCACGATACTGTCATTCTACGAGTCTTAGCACACGTAGAATGACTGAGGCGGAATCTTCCGCGCACGACACCTATCCTACAGTGAACTTTATACTGCACTAATGAGTGGAGGTTTCTCGATTTACCCACAATTCTACCCTGCCACCATAGGTATGACGCTCCGCTAGAGTGACGCAAGCTCTCTATCATGGACTGAGCGTTAACCTCACAAAAGTGACCATTCTCTAGAAACAGATAAAGCGAATGAGCGGCTAATATCTGTCTCTTTCCTGCAAGCCTGATTGGTCTACGTCCTGCAAGCCAGTGAGGTGGACCAATCAGAGTTATTGAAAGAGACAACTACTGGCCGCACATTCGCTTTGTCTCTCTCGCACTTTTGGTCTGTATTCACTGCGCAACTGAATACGGGACACACAGTCCATTTTCTCTATGTCTATGCTCTCGATCCAACCGGTTTTTCATAGACGCGCCGTCAAGCAGAAAGTTACAAAATATATTAATTCTGACTCCCTCACTCTTAGGATTTCGGGTAAATGTATCTCGCTTACTCTCGGTACGATGTCCTAGTATAGAAGTTTAGGAGTCTAGGTTATTCTACGTCAAAGAGTATAGTAACTGTCCTATACAGGAATTCTACGTTCTCCATTCGATAAAACGAGATATCTAGCCATATAAT